CGTCAGCAGGCGCTTTGTTGGTCGTCAGCAGAGACCACCGCGCACAGATCATCGGCGACCGTGGCCGATGTGTGTTATTCAGTAGTAACGCTCGGCAAGCGAATAAATTAAATGCGCGAAAACACTAACACAAATCGAAAGGAATTAAAGGGGAAAAAAGAACGCATCAGACACTTACCGAGGAAGAATGACTTGTCCCTTGTGCGCCTTCATTGGAGATGGAAGAATGGAGAGAGTTTAGCGTGGTCAGCGGATTTTGACAACGAACGCAAACCACACAAGCACGCAACAGGCAGACTAATGCACGTTGTAACGCTTAATCAGTGCAAGAAAAATGCTTCGGTGAGGTAAACAGAGATTCGGAGAAAAAAGGATTCTGCAAACTTCACCAAAAAATCATCGCAAATCGGTTTCTGGAGTTGATTCGACAGCTGCTGCTGCTGCTGCCGTTGTTGTCGATGTTGTGTCTGTCTTTACTGTTGTGCTGTGTGCGTGTTTCGAAGACGACGATAGCATTTGCTGATGGTGGTAGTGGAAGAATGTTTTGAGAAGAATAAAGAAAGCAGCCGAGAGAGCGAGAGAGCTCAAAGAATTTCATTTAGGCGCCTTCTGCACGGCTGCTGCTGCTGCTGCCTAAAATCAACCAACAAACGCCAGAGCAAAAGAGAGAATTAAGCCGTAGGTTGAAGCAGAAGAGAGGTGGCTTCTATTTTGAGAGAGAGAGGGCAACCAGAGAATCTCTTAAAGAGAAGGGATTCTGGTGAGCTCGCGCGCCCGCGGTTCATTCTTCTCTTGGAGGAGTCTTCGGCGCCTTTCTGGCAGAGGCGCAAGTCGCACCTCGGCGCACCTCGACTAGAGAAAATCATCATCATCTTCGAGATGAGGTGATGGTGATGGTGGTGGCTCTCCACAGCAGGAACGTCTTCGGCTTTTGACAACCGACAACACGGAACAGATAATGAGCATTGAGGGAGATTCATCTTTGGGAGGTTTTAGAACTGAAAAGATGAAATCTGGTGAAAGAACCAGAACGCTTTTATTTTGGCGCGCGTGCAACAGCAAAAAAATCGCAAAACCCATTCACAAAGTATAGGGCAGTTTTAGGTCGTTAGAGGGCGCTACGATTNTTTATTTTGGCGCGCGTGCAACAGCAAAAAAATCGCAAAACCCATTCACAAAGTATAGGGCAGTTTTAGGTCGTTAGAGGGCGCTACGATTTTCTCGTCAATCAAAATACCCAAAAGAGAACTAAAAAGGCAAACAGAGAATCCAAAAAGATTAACCAAAGATAAAAATGGCGGCCTCTTTATTCATTGTGGTGAAGTGTGCAAGTGCAACCGTAGACACAACAGATAGAGAGAGTGACCAGCAGTACTTGTTAAACGGTGTTGTTGTTTAGCGTGTTAAAACTTTGTTGAATTTTTTCATTTCATTTCATTTACAGCAGACGAGCTCGAGGAACGCGCGTGGTGAAGCGGTTGGCGTGGAAGTTCTTCTGCGTGCGCACGGGCAGCGGGAACTTGATCTTCGAGTCGTGGAACTGCTTGATGTGCGGTCGGCGGCACTTGCTCGACTCGATCTCCTCCACGCGGATGATCTGAATCGAGTCGGCGCGGGCTCGGTGACGGGCGCCCATGTCTCGGTCTGAAGAGAGGGGGGGGGGAAATAAAGGTTAGTTAGAACTGTAAAGGAATTATAGAATCCACTAAAACACTTACAGCACGAGGTGATGGCGTTGTTGGTGGAGATGTCCCGGTACTCGCGGTACATGTTGTGGCTGCCGGTGCGCGAGTTGTAGCGCAGCCAGACGCCGTAGTTCTTCACCTTGGCGGCGGCGTCCGACTCCTGGATCTCCTTGATCTCGACGATCTCGCCGTTGGCCTTCTTCACCTTCTTCAGCTTCGAGAGGAAGTACCAGTAGCGCGACTTGGCGATCACGTGGTCCGGCGCGAAGATGGTCATGCGGTAGAGGGGCGGGTTGGTGATGGCCGCCGTCGGCAGGTGCCGCCCGACGATGCGGTACTGACGAAGCTGGTGAAGATATGAAAAAGGTTAGTAAATGGAATCAGAATCAGAATCAGGAACTTCGAAATCAGCAGTAAACATGTCAGGGCTGTTGTGTTGTGTTGGCAGGTCTCTTCACAAGCACACCAGCAATCCGCCATCATCAACTGCCCCGCCAGACGGTGCCCAGCCTGCTAAGCAAATAATTCGGGTTGTCGGGACCCGGGCCCAGACGGGACTTACCACTCCAGAGGCCTTCATTGTTGACGGTAGAAGAACAGCGTTGATGCGCGCTGGTGGAGAAGCAAACGGAAAGGAGAGAACGGAAAAGCGACTCAGCCTGCCGACTACTGTGCACCAGCATGCGTTTGCAGCGCAGCCAACGGGGCAGCTGGGGTGGAAATGGCCGGCAAAGAGAGAGGCTTGCTCCCGGGAAGACTTTTTTTTTGAAACGGCTTACCGGGAAGACTGCTGCTGCTGCTGGAGTTGTTTTGCTGTGATTTGGAGTTTTCGAAGTTGAACTAATTTGGAACTTTAAGGGGAAAAGATGATGGCAAACATAAAGAGGGGAGGTTGCATTGTACAGCTGTACTTTGACTACATGAGCATTCGCCAAATAACAACCAACACAACATGGCATCTGCACAACATCTGCCCAAGTTTGAGGAGATCAGCAAGCAGTCTCGGGAGATACTGACCACCTTCTTTGGTAAGTCTTTTTGTTCAAGATTACTTAAACTCACCACAAGTTTATCTTCACAACAGACTCCGGCCGGCTGAGCTTCAAGGCGAAGATGAAGGAGTGCGGCA